ATCTAGGTGTTATTATATCAAGTGACCTCAAATGGGCATCCCGCATTGGTGCTGTGGTTAAAAAGGTTAACTCGCTGCGGTACTTAGTTGCTATCAGTTTTAAAAATATTTATCCTGTTTTGCTAGAACGCATCTATAAATCGTATGTCAGACCAATTTTTGATTATGCCGCCCCAGTGTGGAATCCTTACTTTGCTGGTGATATCCATGTCCTAGAACAGGTACAACGACGTTTCACTAAACTGTCGCCTGCTTTAAAACATCTCCCCTATGAACAACGACTTACTGCCCTTCACTTATCTTCTTTGACTGGTCGACGAATTCGTGGCGATTTAACTGAGACATACAAAATATTGCATGGTCACCATACGTGTCATTTACCATTGTTTGTACTCAGCACTAATCTACACCTACGAGGACATAATATGAAGCTAGTACGTGAACGGTTTTACAAATTGTGTAGGCAACACTTCCTCACAAACAGAACACCAAATTTGTGGAACACTCTGCCGGATGATGTTATCGCAGCCTCGTCACTCAATGCCTTCAAGAACCGACTTGACGCCCACTTTTCTAATTCTTTCTAGTTCTTTTTAAATTTTCATCATTATTGTATTCATATTTATTTATATTATTTTGTATTAATGCACACTCTGACTTTGTAATGAAGTGCATCGGCATTTTGCCGTCTTACTTCTACTTCTATAATAATAATAATAATAATGCCATAAAATTTCCCGTACAAACTTCATCCCTATATCACAAACTTTTGGCAACTGATTTTAATAGACTGTAGATGCTTTTTTGAACATCTCAGTAATTTGAATCACAATTAGGAGTATAAGATTTTGTTTTGTAGTTTATGTTAACTCTCAAAATATGAGCTGTTGGAATGCTGAAAATCCACATGTTGTGATAACCCAAACTTCCCGCCTTCAAATTGACACTTGAAAAGTTTGAAAGGCCCGCGAAAAAATTCAAAAATTCAAAATTTGGCCTTGACTGTGATCGTCTAACAAAAGGAACCTTGTGTTTTTTTTTTAAACATGGCGGGAAGACGTTCTTTCATACAAGTGAACATACACTGCGTGCGAGTAGAGAGCGCAAGAAATACAATTTTTGGGAGGAGGGTAAAAAATCATACCCCTCTCTCTAGGAGGAATAGGAGCTGCAAGTGAGAGCGACACGTGGCTTGCCATCTTGCATTCACTCCTCAGCCCTAAAAACCCCTATACTTTATTCACCCACATATAATACATCGCAAATGAAACACATAAATATATAAAAGAAAGAGACAACCGCGAGTTGACAGACATACACATATGAAAACTGAACAAGTGCAAAAACCCTACGTTTATGTTTTGAATCAATGCAAATATTTGAATATCACAAATTTAATAAAAGCAAAGCAAAATTTGAATTAAAGTAACTGGATGCAAATATACAAGTTATTACGAGCATGTGGCGTCAAATTTAAAATCATGTCAGTTAACAAGAGCACAACAAAAATACCCATAAGGGCGTTCTAGCACAAGCGGAGTTTGGGGCACCCGGTTCGTGGTGGTCTCCCCCGCGACGGTGATTCTGTCTATCGGCAAGCCTACCGCCCAGCACCCCTCTATCTAACGAAGAGACGTACCGCGCTATCTAGCAGATCGTTACGGTCGAAAACTGTTGGTTGGAATGTCAAGGCTATAAATAAGCTGACAGCGTCACATCGTCCAGACCGTTCCCACTGACTCTATACAAAGCCTGCACCCCTTGTGCAGATGGCGCGACAAATCCCGCTAGCCCCCACTAGGAGCCGCGCCCTACGCTTCTGCTACGTGTTTCGGTGTTATTTAACCTCAGTTCCATTTTAAATGTTCAAAATTCCTATGACTCTGATATTAACTGAATAAGTGTTAAAGTTTCAAAGAGCAACAAACAACATTTAAATTCGCCATACAATCTTGTGAAATTTTAAACAACAAATAAATCTTATGTGAGATTAAAATTTGACATCAGATAATTTATATGATGGTAACATTCATCAACAAAATATTTACAAAACAAAAACTAGTAAAGATGTATAAAAACAAAAGAACTAGTGTGAAATAAACTTGTGCAAATAAAAATATTGTAGGAGGTTAAAACTGCAGAGCATGAAATTTACGTTCAATTAAAATTATATGTACAACCAAGAAAATTACTGAAGTTAAAATTGTGCGATAGAGAAATATAATATGAGGTGGAAAAATTGCAAAGCCAACAAAATTTACATGAACTTAATATTTGCCACACTTTATCAACGATTCAAACAAAGAGTTTACATTTTGCCAAACTATGTCATGATCCAAGTGATTGGTTACATAAAAAAACAATTTACTTTGGGAGTTTATAGTACCGCGAACTGGTTCCCCTAACAAAACACATAATAAACAAACACAAAAATATCCAGTCATCGTTGCGAGGAAAAAACGTCTCGGTGATGTAAATTTTATCGTTGCAAGGAAATGCCTCGATGATGTAAATTTTAACGTTGCGAGGAAATACCTCGATGATGTAAATTTTAACATTGCGAGGAATAAGCGTCGGCGATGTAAATTTTAGCGTTGCGAGGAATAAGCCTCGGTGATGTGATCAATCTTTAGCGTTGTGAGGACATGCCTCAGTGATGTAATCAATGTAATAATGATAACGATGATAACTGCCTAAGGGAAGAAATTATTTTAACCCCCCCCCCCGCGAGTTCGCGGTACGAATTAGTTAATTTAACTGTCGTAAATGAACTATCTTGGGTGAAGAATTAAGAAGTGTTCTAATGTAACACTTACATATTAGCATCCAGAAACTTATTTATAATTTGTTAAAAAAAGAATTAGTTCTGACTAAGTGAATTTCATGAAATCTTCTAGCAAGTGGTTTATTTAAATAGTCCTGATTGTTAAATTGTGTTGGCACTAGTCTACCAACCCTTTAACTAACAAGCAGAACTACCAACTGTCATGAAAAGAACTGAACGTGCACAAAGCCTATGTTTAACGATTTTTCGATTGATTTTTTTTTTCTTTCAAATTAAAATTATTCAAATGTGATTTCGCGCCGCTGTTAAATTCAGCGCGAAATTTTGATTCAAATTCGGTCACCACAATGTCTTTTGTGAAACACCACTCCATCCTGGTAAAATTGGTGTATGGTGCGCAATGTCTCGCAGACGTATCATTGGACCCAAATTCTTTGAGGAAACTGTAACAGCACAATATCCTAAATTGCTTTTGTTCAAGAGTTACAGGATGATAAACTCCAAAATGGTTTTTTTTCAACATGACGGTGCCACGGCACATACAACAGTAGACAATTCGAATTTTTTGCGTAAATTCCTGGATGACAGAGTGATACGTTTCTATTCTGTTCCTGAGTATCCCCCAAGGTCACCAGATTTAACCCCTCTGGATTACTTCTTGTTCGATCGTCTAAAAAGCACTATTTTTAAAACTCCCATTCACACCATAGAAGAACTGAAAAACAGAATTACCGAAGAGTGTGATCGCATTACTCCTGATACACTACAAAATGTGTTTGATAACATGAAAAGATGTGTCGATTTATGTACACAGGAAACATGATACCATTTCTAACAGTTTCTTTAACTTTGTTTTCACCTTTTAAGTAAATTTATTCATAAATCTGCAGAAATTATTTTCTCTTATTAGTTTTTCTAGTTTTCAATAAGCAAGAGCTAACCTTCGTTTGTAAATTGATTTATGTCGTACGCAACCAACATTACACATGTGTTTGTTTAATTGCATAATCTGAAAAGTATCTGAAACCGAGAAGACATACGTTCAAAATCGCACAACATTCTTTGATTTAAATAAATAATTTTAAGTCATAGTTAATAATTACCTAATTATCATTATTAACCGTAATTAAAATATTTTGTGGAGATTCTACACTGCCGTTTAGTTTCACAGGGCAATACAATTTTGGTGGATACAAAAATAACGTTTTTAGAAATCAGAATAAATAGTAGAGTTCATTACAATTGGTTTGGCGCTGTGTGACATTTGTTCCAGTTGTTGAAAATTACCTACCAATGGTGGAACATTTATCTTTTTCAGTGATCATGAGTTGAAACTTTAAACTATGCTTAGGTCGTTGCTTCAGAAAAACAACTTTCGATAGTTTACATAGATAAAATCCCTCACGTCGTGTATTTATGTTACAGTATATACAGTTAAAACATTTCCCTAAAGGTTGGTGCTGTTTTATCGTTGACACAGCTAGGGTTAAGCATTCTAATTAGTGAACAAATGAAGCTTCGAGTGTGTCCATTTGTTATTATCTTTACACATAAAAATGCTATGAATTTTATGCGTTACATTCAGGACATTAAAACTGACCCTTTTTTTGTTTCGTTTTTTCAAAAATGTACCAAATACAAAAGAATATGATTATAGCATTACTTTATTCTGACATTTAGATGCAAAAATTAGGTCGACTAATGAAGTTTTTAGTGGCAGGAATTAGTTAAATTTTTTAAACGATCAAAGTAATTGGATTTGCTATTTTACAAGTACGAATTGAAAATTCATAAATACAAGTATGAAAGCTCATAATATTTAATTTGAGAAATTAAATTTAACCCAGAACGTATGTCCTAATTTTGCTGTTAACGTTAATGCAGTCTAAAAAACACTTGTTGGGGCTCGAATGCAAATGGACGCCCGTACCGTATTTACATGGCCAATTTGAACAAATTTCCAAAGTTTGTTAAACTCGATTAGGAAAGGTCGGACTGTAATTATTTGGATAATCCGCTTAAACCAATAGCATCCATCATCGCGGTTTTATATTAATCATCACAAATAACATCATAAATATACCAAAACGCATTGTTCAAAGATCGAGTACCATTTCCATAAAAAAAATAACTGAAAAGTCGTATTATAAAAAAAAAAAAATTAATTGTGCCAGCAAACGTATTTATTGTTGTATCGATCAACATGTATCAATTTTCCGTGTTTATTAATCACCAATCTCTAACATAAATAATCAACTGTAAACTATTGTCGCAAACATACCTATTATTAAAACATAAACTTGCTGACTCCACAGCAGCGCATTTTTTTTCGCCACAACCCGACTCAGTTCCAACGTCCGACCCAACAATGCTCTATGCGTTCGTTCTCCTCTTTTTCTGGCCCACATCCTTCGGCCAGCACCTCACCGACGAAGCAATCTATACAATAAACGGCAAAAAATCCCTCCACACAGTCAGCGAGAAATTCGTGAGCTTTTCGATCGATCCTGCTGTTCTGCTCACCGGCTTGAATTTGAGGTAGGTTGGTAGTGTTTAAGAGTGTTCGCACGCTAATTAACAAGAAATGGGACCACTGAAGCTCCATAAAGTTTTTGTTTTCGGTCCTTTACTATTGCAATCTAAATCGGCCTTAAGAATGTGTTGCAAAACTATCCTTGTGTAACTATTTACGCTGGAATGGTCCAACATTTTTTGCTGCAGTATTTTTTGTTGCTTATCCCCTAAATAAATGTCAGTTGTCTTGAAAAGAAATTGTGAAGAGGAGCGTGTCCGTAGACGAATTTTTAGAGCTCGTTGAAGCTGAAAATAAATATACTGTGAGCAATGTGTTTTAAAGATATGGAAACATTTTTTTTTTTCTTACGATTATTGTTTTGGAGCTTCGGCCGGTGTTGTTTCTGGTGTGCGAACACCCTTAACAGACGCCAATCATGTTGTTTTCCAGTGACACCACCGTACAGATGGCAAGGCGTCTGGCACCGGCCTACGTCAGAATTGCCGGGCCGTCGACACAATTTGTCAAATACGACGAGGAGAATTCATGGAACGATGTAGAAAATGGGTTTGTTGTAGTCACACCGACGATGTGGTTCGGGATAAATGAGTGGCTGGCGTCGGCCAATCTTACTCCTGTTTTCGGAATTAATGATGGGGTGGCTGGGAGGGAAGGGTGGAACCCTCAGGAAGCGATGGAGGTATTGGACATGGCGGATAAATTTAACGTTAGCTGCTATTGGCAGCTGGGATATGGTAAATATGAGCTGAAAATTTAGGTTGTGGGTGAAAAATAGCGCTTGTTTAATATTGTTCTCTGCTTTTTTCCTGGTATGTTATTTTTGCTTTTTATCGCTGTCACACAATTTCAAATAAATGCCAGGGTAAGGTACATGAAAAATAAAAGAATCTGAGGATTTTTTTATGTAATGCTTTCACAAAAACGTCGATAGAAACGTCAATATCGGAACTTACCTTAATATTGACTAAAATATAAAACATATATTTTCATAGGTTCATGTATTTTATATGTTTCTTTTTTTCTCCGTGCGTTATTTTTCCTTGAATGGTAATATTAACATCGGTTATATGGAAAATAACTGAAGCTTTTTTTAATGCCGACATAAATAAATTCGATATAAACGTCGTTATCTGGGTTAATCTTTTATTAGTGTTGATTAAAATTGGTGTTTGCCATTTTCTATATGAAACTACAGGCATTCTTCTTCATGATTGTGCATGATATATTTTTTAATTTATAAGTCATAAATTTTTTTATACTAGAATACTCTAGGAAGCGGATTTTATTTTTCGAGACATGGGTAGGTAATTTTGACGAAGGTCTAATATCAGTTTTTCTAACCGTTAGTAGAATAAGACAGTGCAACTTTTCCGTGTTCGTGTGTTGGCTTTTTTACCAGTAATTTTCGAACCTACTAAACCGATTAAAACTGAGCAATTTTCCAGGAGATGGTAAAACGATAACCAAGACTTTAAATTTAATTCCCTCCATAATACTGAAAGAATTTTAAATAAATTTCTAATTAAATAAAAACTATTAAATTTTTTAAGCTAGAGAGGTATTGTCGTAGGATCCATTTGGCAAAAAACTAATTTCATGTTCTCTTGAGGTTTTGTACCTCTTAGAATACAAAAAATACGTTTTCCATTTCTGTCTGCCTTGTTTCTGTTGGCGACTTTATTAGACTTCTTCGAAATCGTCGACACTAGTGGAGTGATTGTTGCGAAATTTTAGAAATATTTTAACATCATATAAACGCAAACCATAAGATTTTGGGAAAAAAGTCAAAAATACACTACAAAATTTTATAGTAAATTTTATTTATATCAGAATATCGCTACAAGGGAATTAAATTATAAATGATATCTTATGAACCTTATGGTAGAAATTAACAACTAATATTACGTATAATAACTACTACAAACTGAAAATGAAACAAAATGCTTTAGTGACTTTCAGTTACCTAAATATGTAATTAATAAATTCCGAATGAATCTTCTAAAAATTCTTCCATACATTTCTATTATACGGATATGCTTTTACTTTCCGAGCGTAAGCGAAGGAAGTGTTGTAATCAAGTGCGTCGGCTGATTCTCTTCTTTTACGTCTTCTTGATCTTTCATGACACCTAGAGTACGAAGAAATAGGTTTTCCGTTTCCGTCTGTCTGTCTGCCGTCACGATGTTGTAAAATTTTTCATTTATACTAGTATTTACTAAGATAAGACTGATTTTGACAAATGACATACCCTATAAGAATATATAATAATATATATAATAATTCTTCATTTTTCATTCTTCGATTTTACAATTTTTTAATATCTCAATTTTTCGTTTTTTCGTGTTTTTAATTTTTCAATTTTTCGTTTCTTGAATTTTTCGGTTTGAAATTTCTCAGTTTTGCAATTATTCGACATTACAGTTTTTCATTATATGGATTTTTCAATTTCTCAATTTTTAATTTTTCGTTTCCTCAATTTTTAAGCTCTTGATTTTTATCTTTCATTTTCGCAATTTTTTTATTTTCATTTCCTCGATTTTATACCACACTTCTTCGTTTCTTCATTTCTTTTGTTTTTTCAATGATTACTTCGATTTTATAATTTTTCGTTTATTCAATTTTTCTTAAATTTTTGATTTTGCAGTTTTTGGATTTCTCAATAATTCGATTTTACCCTTTTTTAGTTTTTCAATTTCTCAGTTTTTGATCTTTGAAGAGTTGAAAAAGTGAAAAAACGAAAAATTGCAAAATCGAAAAACTGCAGAAACAAAAAATTGGAAAATTGAAAAGCCAAAGATCGAAAAAAAAATTAATCGAAAAATTGGAATGAAGAAAAAACGAATCTAATCGAAAAATTGGAAAGCCCAAAAATTGTAAAATCGTCAGAACTATAAAGTTGAACAATTGAAACAGTGAAAAATCGAAAAAATGGAAAATTAAATACCGAGAAAATGAAAAATTGAAAAATCGAATAAATGAAACAGTTTTGAAATCCAGTAATTGAAAAATCGAAAAATTTAAAAAATAAAGAAAATAAAAAACCGAAACGAAAAAGTACAAATCGAAAAATTGAAGAAATCAATACTTGTGAAATTGCCGATCCAAAAATTGCAAAATTTAAAAATTGAAACATCCAAAAGTTGGAAAATCGGAAAACTACAAAATTTTAAAATGAAAGCTCGAAGAGATGCATATCGTAAAAGTAGAAATCTGAAAAATTGCAAATTGAAAAATAGAAGAAACAAAAAATTGGAAAAAATATATAAACTCGAAACAGTGAAAAATCGATTAACTGGAAAAATAAAGAAAATAAAAAATCGAAACTAAAAACTGCAGATCGAAAATTTGAAGAAATGAAAAATTAAAGAATGGAAGGAAAAATTACAAAATCTAAAAATTGAATACTTGTGAAATTGCAAATCCAAAAATTGCGAGATCTAAAAACTGAAACATCCAAAATTTGGAAAAGCGGAAAACTGCGTATTGTAAAATTGAATAAGAAAGGAGAAATTGAAATTGGAAAATATATATATATTTAAAATCTTTTCATTTTTCAGTCGTTTTTTCAATTCTTTCTTCATTTCCAATTTTCAGAATTTTCAAAGTTTTTGTCTTATACTTTTCATTTTTCTTTTGATGTTTTACTTTTACAATTTTTTTATTCCAAAAGTTAAAAAACCCAAACATGATTTTTAATTTGTTGATTTGTCAATTTTTCGATTTTTCAACTCTTGGATTTTTCAATTTTCGACTTCTTAGTTTTTAATTATTCAATTGTTCGTTGTTGCAGTTTTTCCATTTTAAAATTTTTCGGTTTCTTGTTTCTCTAGTTTTAATTTGTCGATTGTTCAATTTTCCAAATTTTTATTTTTTCCCTTTTTCAGTTTTTCGATATCTCAATTTTTAGAAGATTCAATTTTTCGATTTTTAGTTTTTGGAATTCTCAATTTTTGATATTTGAAATTATAGATTTTATACAGTTTATCCGGAAAAATAGTCTAAAATCTCTTTTTTGAAATTTTTGAAAATATCAGTCTTAATAAATTGTTTCTTTTTGGTGAAAAATTGAAAAACTGCAAGTCGAGAAGTAGAAGCAACGCAAAATCGAAAAACTAAAATTAGAAAAAAATGAAAAATCAAAAAACTGAAAAAACGAAAAATTGCAAATCAAGGAACTAAGGAAATGAAAAATTGAAAAATTACAAAACTAAAAATGGGGAAACTTAAAAATTAATAAACCGAAAAACTGGAAAGAAAAAAGCGAATTGATTCGAAGAATTCGAAAACCCAAAAACAGTAAATTATGAAGTCGAAACCAGTAAATGGGTTTTAAATTGTATGAAATAACATAGTCCTAAACATGTAGTTTATGATTCCGTATTGAGTTTTTACAGGAAACGTCCAGATTTTTGAAAAAAAAAATCAAAATTATGAAACAACATTTTGCAATTTAATTTTAAATCTGCAAAACCACATGCTTTGAAATCTTACATGTTTTAAAGTTATGATAAGCATGATAAATGTTTAATCAAAATATATTTACTTAGCCCCTCCAAAAAATTGATGTTTTCAGCTTAAAATTTTGCCGAATAAATCCTATCTAAATTGTACAAAATATGATGAGTCTGTCCTTGTAATTTATCATTCCTTTCATATTTTTTTGGATTTGCATGTACAGGTGACTCAAAAAAATTAATGAATGCGTGAATTTATTTTATCGATTTAATCAGGAACTACAAAACTGAATGCTTTGAAATCTTGGAGATGTTTTAAAGTTATAATAAGCATGGTAAATTTTTGATCAAAATGTATCTGTTTTATCAATCCCGAAAAATTGATGACGTCATCTCAAAATGTTGCCGAATATATCCTATCTAAAATGTACAAACTATGATCAGTCAATACTTATAATTTATCACTGCATTGATATTTTTTAGATTTGCTTATGCAGTGATTAAAAAAAAATTAATGAATTAGTCAATTTATTTTGTTGAAGAAAACAAGAATTACAAAACTGAATACGTTGAAATCTTGCAGACGTTTTAAAGTTATTGTAAGCCTGGTAAATTGTTAATCAAAATATATCTGTTTATTCCCCCCAAAAATTTATAACGTCATTTCAGAATTTTGCCGAATAAATTCTACACAGAATGTGCAAAATATGATGAGTTTTTCCTTGTGATTCATTCATATTTTTTAAGTTTGGTTATATACATGACTCAAAAAAATTAATGAATGAGTCAATTTATTTTGTTGATTAAATCAGGAACGGCTCACTCCATTTTCCCAGAAAATTTTGGGAATACAATACTGTTATTTTTAGTATTACATTGCACAAATCCAAGTTGATATAAGTCTTGCAAAAATGTTGATGATGTCATCACGAAATTGTGTAAAGTAAAAACTCAACTCAAAAATGCTGCATATATTTCACTGTACTTTAGGTGTCGAAACAGCTTTCGACCAATTTTTTAGAATTATTTATGTAATTTTTTTTAAATTAAGTATGAATTTCACTACATTTTATTATAAATTTTAGGAATCCTAACTCCATCGTATCCTGACCCCTGTGGAACCTTGCTACAATGTTTTCAATCGACAGCAACTTTTCACGGATTTTTTTCGCCTTTTTACGTTTCGGCTTAACGGTTATTGTTTGTATCATCGTAAGCCTATTTTCCCTTCTGTTTACATTTCTACTTATCACTTTAGCAAGAATTATTAAATTTTCCATTTTAATCTTATATCTACTGGAGGTAATACGCTACCGTGCAAATATACTTTGCTTGTAGTTTAGGTGAGAATGTTAAATAATATTTTTGAGAGGATTTTCAACGCATTTTGCCGTTGTAATTTTCCGAAATTTCCACTAGAAATAATCTTTTTCTGGAGATGCTGAAGTGTTCATCGAAGAATAGAATCGTCAGCTGACTTTTAGTACCAGATTAAATGATTAAATTAAATTGGAGATCATTTGCTTGGATCTCTCGGTGTACGGTAAACGTATAACGTTTATTACCCCTTAACAGAGTAACAGCAAAAATACAAAATTACAAAATTATTATTAACGTGTTGGTATTGTTTAGATATTACCAACGTGGTTGGCGAAACGCGTCGAGAATTTTTGTAATTTTGTATTTTCGGTGTTAGAGGGGTAATAAACGTTATACTAAATTAGAGGTGTTGCTTACATTCTGCTTTAAAAGTTCAGCTAATTTAGTTGCTTCTAAAACAATATTCCGCTTTCATTCCTTTAGAAGATATAATTTATCTTCTCCCTTTACACCAAATTCTACACCATACTTTTAGATTGTTCAAACAAAACAGAGAGCCAGTACGTAACAGATCTAAAACGGTTACAGCACGTTTTGGATGCATTTCCAAACAAGAAAAACCAGTGGAAAATCGTTGGAAGCGATTTGCGTCAATGCGTTTCAGATTCTAAAAAAAATCTAGACGATCTAAGTGATGTTTTGACAGCAGTAGTACTGGAACCGTAAGTCCAAGCTTTAACCCCAGTCTTCCACATGTTTACAACCCTTTCTAGAACAACCATCGACAAAAATCAACTTTTAACCCATCTCACCGACATCTATTTAAAACCAAAAGTACCCTTATGGATCGCTTCTTCAAAATGCACACATCCTGTTTCTTTTGCTTCTGCCATTTTCTGGGCCAAAGAAATGGGCGAAGCAGCTAAAAACGGGTACGAAGTCATTCTCAAACAACCCCGCCTTCACGAAATCTATTCCGAAACTCCGCCTTTTTGGGTTTCGGTACTCCACAAAATGTTGATGGGTCGGAACGTTCTGGACGCTAAGGCCACCATTGGGCAGTCTGAATTGTCACTGTATGCTCATTGTACTAGACACCAAAACGACTTCAACAGAAGCGGAGCTATGACGGTACTTGCCATCAACAATGCTACTTCTAACCATACTTTTCTTTTGAAATTTGGTTCAGCTTTGTTGAAAAGTGCTGAAGTTCAGTCGTACGTTTTGACAGCGGAGAGTGAAGACGCTACGTAAATATACATGTATTTTTTGTGTTTATAACTTCTAACAACTTTGTTTCAAGGGATGTTTTCCTAAATGGTGAAAAGCTAAGTTTGGATAAGATTGTAGACGATAAAGCAAACTTTTTACCAAAGTTGAGGCGCGCACGAATTATGAATTACTTATCCTTGTTTTTGCCCCCAAAGTCGGTGGGGTTTTTTGTTTTACCAGGGGCTCAAATTCCTGTTTGTATGGGCGAAGATGCGGATTTAAAACTTCTGATGGAAGAAATTAAAGAAGATCAAAATATTCCTTTTTCTGATAACGAAATCTCGGTTGAGGTTACTCCTCGTTTCGCTTTACACAGATCGCCCACGCTACGAGAATTACAGGAAGGAATGGAGAAAGAACTAGAGTCCGATGAACGTTACTATAAGCAGATAAAGATGAAGAAAAAAAAAGGTCATGATGAAGTCGACGGAAGAAATTTGTTTCTTCACAGAATGAGGCATAGGCAAAATGAAGATAAGAGACTTATTTTAGGACATGATAATGTAAAACACGAGGAAATTAAACACGTTGACTTAATACATCAACCACGTAAAGAAGAACCTAAGAAGATCTTCGAACTCGAGTTGACGAGTGAAGAAATCCGGAGAGTGCTTTCTGACAGAGCGAAGGCTAAAGCTGCGAAGAAAAATATAATCTTCACAAGCGAAGAACTGGAAGAAATTATGGATAAAGCGACACAGAAATTCCTTAATAATAAGAACGCCTCTATACGGATTCGGAAAAAGTCAAAACGTGAAGCAACACGTGACAAGAAAGACATCAACATGCGTTTGTTGAAACTGAAGTCTTTCGGAGACAGAAGACGATTATTGAAAGAATCTTTGAGGAACAGAAAGTCCAAGTTTAACACACCTGCAACCGAACGCCAAAAAAGGGACATTAATATGGACTTGCTCAAACTGAAAACTGAATTACACACCAACAATAAATACAAAAAATTAAAGAAGACATTTGAAAACAATGAAGAAAAACAAGCAACAGTTCGACAACCAGGTCAAACTTCTGAGGAGTTCGTGGAATTTGAGGAAGAAGAAGAAGAAGGAGTAGAGAGTCCTTTGCCAGATGGAGATGTTTTTGCAGAATTGGCCGAACCCGACGATGAGTTCATGGTAACTACAGAGAAGACTAAAACGAGTTTTAAGGCAAAAAATTTACATAATTTACACAAACTAGTTGCGCCTAGAATTTCAGTGCAACCGGTCAAATATGAGCCTAAAAATCCAGCAGGTTTGGAAAGCGACTTTGAGGTGAATTCAGGACCTGAAGATGATGACAAAAGTGGAAATTTTGACTGTATTCATGAGTTTTTCGGAAAAAGTAAAAATGAAATGAAAATAATTAACAACAATTCATCGGAATTGTGGGAAGTGGGATTTGAGCCCGTCAGCCAAACAGGGAAACTACCGTCTATCACTACTCGTATTAAGGAGGTAAGTGCAAAAAAAGGAAGTGTGGTATTTGTATATACCGGGTGTCTTAGTTTAGATTTTCCACTGTAATATCTCCGTTTTGTTTGAATACATACACGTCGAAAATTTAGAATGGTTGCTTGACACGCCGAAGTATATAAGACGAATAGACGGTTTTTTAAATTTTTAAATGCGTTAAATAGTTTTTTTTTTATTTTACTAACATTTCATTTATCGCAGAAAACAGAAGTTTGAAGTTGGGAATGGTAAATTAATGCAAAAAATGGCTTCAAATTAGTATAGTTTTAGCATTATATCACCTTTGGTTTTTCTGGAAATTTTGAAAGCTGTATCGTCAATTGACGAAAAAATTAATAAAATGAGCAGATGATAGAATTTATTTTTACTAATGCAATGGTACGGTTTTAAAAATATTTCAGGTAGTACGTATTTTTTAATTTTCAATTATATATAACATTTCACTTAAGTGCTTCAATGTTTTTTAAAAAAATGAGAAAATAAGATGGTGGTGGACAATTGACAGTATTCTTCTGTATTTTTTGGATCACAATTGTTTGTAAAATTGCCGATGAATAGTATAGAATAATGGACAACCTAACATTTTCAGGTTAGAGACACTGGATATAATTCCTACGTTTCAAGACAATTTTCCAGTAAAACAAATTCCAAACTGCTTGTATTTCGCACGTTTCGCGAAACATTTATGAGAATATCAGGGTCTTAAGAAAATCTCAACGGTGTACTTAAAATAATAAATGGTCACAAGTGAGAAACTAATTGTTGGTGTTCTGGGAAGCGTTAATGTGAAAAAGCCATCGTATATAAAATTAATAACGTGTGTAAATTTGAGTTTGCAAAGATTAAAACAAACTCTTCTACGTACTCCCGGCTTGTACTTTCTATCTAACATACGTCATTTCATTTGAAAAAAAAAGTTGGTGTCATTTGCGGAAATGCGGAAAAACATTAATTAATTAACATATCAATTAAAATCAATCAATTTAAAAAAAAGTTGATGTAATTGGTAGACATTTTTTATGTTTTAATTAACATGTCGATTAATGAAGCCTTACATAATGCTCGTAGTATATTCACCTTATAAATTTCCTTGTGCTAATTAACCTTTCTAAAGTTCAAACTTTTTTTCAAAAAGTGAGAAGTTAAAGCGGAAGAAGTAGACTGGGACACCCGGTGTATATATTTGTTTTTAGGCCGAGAATGCAATGAAAAATCAAGACACCAATTTGGAGGGATATTTTGACGAAAAAATGAACGACCACCTATTGATGGAGGACGATTATGGAGATTTGGAAAGTGATGAAAGTAGTCCAGTGCGACTAAAACGTGACGCTGAAGAAAACCACGATAAAAAGGACAAAGTTTATTATGTTTTAGGTCAAACTTATGATTCAGCAAAAATGAAAATCGACGAAAATTTAAAGGATCAACAATTTAAGATTTTGAAAGAACGTCTTCTTCACAAAAAGGTGTTTGACTTTATCAACAAAAACAACAAACTAATTAGTAAGCGTAAAATTCGAAGTTTATTAGGAAAGACTTCTTATAGCGACAGATACAAATCTCTGACAGAGGGTTTAAAGATCTGGAAACCTTCCGATATTTTAACTTTGAAAAGTCCATCTAAGAAAAAGTCAAAAAGAAGCATCGATCATGATGTTGACTCCGTCGAAAACGAAATCGGAAGTTTTATGAACGAGTTAATGAAAGACCCGAAGATGATTCAACCTAAACTTGATATGAACCACGGCGACTATCAGTTGGTGTTTCCAAACAGCGACAAAATACAAGTTGTCGAAAATAAAGGTGACACGGAAGTGAAGTTGGTGCTTCACGGAGAAGAAGAGGCGACTTGTGCTACAACAAATAAAGAAGAATCAGAACATACGACGAAAAGTAACATTCAGAAAGTTTCAAAGAAACACATGGGTGACGTCTGGGACAAGCTTGTTCACAAGCTGTCGAAATTTTTTCACGGTTTGGGTAATAAATTGAAAAAATGCATAATGGAGGATTTATTGAGCGGCGTTTAATTATTTGTGTTAATAGAATTGAGGAATAAATTTTTTATGCAGTAATTGTGCTTTCAATTCATTAACATGCGTCTGCCATTTGAAACTTCAGTGAAGGTTTGAAATATTCAGTTGTTGCAGTGAAAAATGAGAAAAAATGGGAGCTGTATTGATTTTTAATAAAAGCGATAACCGAAATGAGCTCTTTTCCACGCGCGGTTTTAAAAAATTCATACGGTGAAACGGAACGAATGAAAATAGATGTCCTCTGTTGGCCCGCAACAAGGAGAAAGAATAGTTTGTAAACTGTAATATTTTATTAAGTCCTTTCTTTTCACAATAACGTTGCAGGTGGTTTTACAACTAACAACAATCAAGTCGATCGACTAAGACTTATCGGTATTAATATTATTATATAACAACGTGAACAGCCCTTACTAACTATAGGTACTCAGGCAACTACAAACGTGTTGTTCCATGGCTCATGAAACAATTACTGTTAATAAGTGTATAAATACAAAAGTTTTGACTACACAGCTTTACAAATCGGCCTACAACAAAATTACGGAAGAATCAATCGAAAAAATGCAAACGAAAACCGAGTAATTTGTTGTAGGTAATTGGTGGAAAGCTCATGTCGAACTGAATAATTTCGAATCAACAACAATATCTACAATACATGGTAATATACTTGCGAATATCATTTTGTAATAACAATACAACATTGATCATTTCATTAACGAGTTTTCAGTTTTTTGCATAAATTTATCACTAGCTTTTATTTAAATACGTCACTTAAGCAGAAGCTTCGCGGAAACGAGAACGTCCGAACGTCGCGAGACGTTTCGACCGTCGTCGCTTCCACCATCCACGATATACCGTGGCGACCTTTATAGATTAGAAATTACAGATCTCTTTGTTTTAAATATACGTGTCGTTGTCTCTAGAATTTAGATATTAACAAACGCAATCGTCACAAAAGTGTCTTGAGTACACGGAATTCGGCGGTCGGCGGCGGTCCCGCCGACTTGAAAAGACCTTGGTAACGATACAAAATGACAAAAACATACACTTATAATATTATCATTATCACACACCAGACTAAGTCGTACTACATTGCTTATGTTTTTTTGTGAGGAGAATCATCGTTAATAACAAACAACAGACAAAGTAGGAACAATGATTCGGCCGGCGGAGCGCCAGTCAAATGCGAAAAAACCTTGACAACCGGGTCAACAATTTGAGTTTTTTTTCTCTAAAGTACAAAATCCTACGAGTGTTTGCATTGTCTTGCATTTGCGTGTTTCTTTGTTTTGTATAGTTTATTTGAATGTCACGTTGATTTCACCCAAATTCCACATTGAACATTGCGTTTTGCCAAAAAGACACATTTGAGCAACGACACCTATAGTATTAAATACATCGATACAGTCTAGATTCTACCCCCAACTAGAGTTAAGATAGACATAGATTACGCTACTTCCTACTAGAGAATGATATATAGAATTTAATTGACACATAGACAACAGGATCGTGAAGGCGCCGACCAGACTAAAAACACAAAAAACAAAAAACACTCAAACTGAAACCGTTACGAAAGGGTCCGGTTCTAATCCCACTCCTGACTGCGTGAAATTCGAACCGGGAAATGTGGAGGTTGGTGGTGGTGCAGGGGAGAAGCAGTGCGTCTACACAAATCACAAACCAAACAACTTAGTTTTCTTTGCTCTAGTCGAGCCCATCCGTGAAACGAAGCACGTCTGTTCTTTAAATTATCTTAGGTATAAAATAACGGCTGAAGTCGTCGGGAATTCATTATTATCCTGGTGTTACGAACTTGGTCATTTTGAGTCGAAGAGATAGTTAGTACAGGAAGAGAGTATCCACAAAGAGACAGAGACAACAACAATGAACAACGAACAATTATCGAATGACATGCTACACCGAAACAAAAGCGGTTGCCATAGTGACTAAATGTGACGTCGAAATCTCATTTTTTTCGGCAGATTGTCGTCTAGATGTGCTAATTTTACAAAATATATCATGAGAGAGAGAGAGAGAAAGAGAGATAAAGAGAGAGAGATATATATTTTTAGTACAGTACAGCAAGCGCAGAAACAAAGATCGCGTTCGAGTCCGTCGAAAGAATTTGAGCATTCGTTTTATTTTAGCTTTGTACAAAAGTGTTTGTTTTTGTTTTAGTACCCGGATTTGGTTTCTTAGTCCCTGACAAGTGGGTATCGACTCTCGACGGACTCGAGAAAGAACATCAAAGGCGAAATACAAGGAATTTGGATGACCAATCACGGTGTGTGCTTGGAGGATGAGAAAGTGAAGAACTACAATCGTCGGAAAACTGTGAGTGATTGTAAAAAGCCTCGACATTCCTCATTGTTTCATTAAAAAACTACATGCGTCATCAAAAAATACAAAAGGGGAAAAGAATATGTCTCGTTATGCACAATATTTGGTTGACTTTACAAAAAAATAGGTTTAAAACTATCATCTATCTACAAAAACTTTGGTAACAATTGTTTACACACTACTACAAAAGTATTATGACAACAGTGTATCGGTATCTAATGTCATCATAATATTTTTGTTATTTGTTAATTGTTTATCGCAGTCTCTTTTGTTTGTGTTTTTGGGGCTTATTCCTGCACGGCTTTCGTCATTCTAATTCAAATAAACTCATATTTCTAACGCGTCCGTCAGCGGAGGAACCGGCGCGAGGTCCTGGACCGGTTAAGGCAAGTCTTTTTTTATTCATTGTTACCACTTTTCCCTATCAAAATTTGGACGCGCCGCCTTTCTCCACTGAAGATTGCGATTTGATCACAGGTAAACACGCCTACAACTTATACGGCACCTAACTAATTGAGTATCTTAAAATTATTATTATTTCTGTGACGTTGTCTAGAAGAAGACGGCCCGCAGAAATTGCCTTGTGGATGTCCCCGGAATTCATTGCATTACACATTTACTCTCTATTTGTGACTTGAGTTCGTTTACTTGTGTCTCTATCGTGTTCTTCAACTCTGAAATGGAAAAAACACACACATTTAAACAGGCAAAGGGTCTGGGGAAAACAGCAAGAGTTCAAGTGTGATGAAAAATGTGCGCCGGACCTAATTCGATACTAATTTACCCTGTTTGGACAATCGAGTGGGCCCTGAAGGGTCAGGGTAAATAACCGGATGCTTTGTGACCCGTTTCAGGCGGCATTGTAGTCGTAAAGGCCTGCCGAGGGCCCGACCCTTTAGCTTTCCCTTCGACATGCGAAAGTGAGCGGCAACCAACATTACATAAATGCAACCGATATTCCGCAAACGTACTGTTGGTTGCGTTTTTAGCTCCGTAGTATCTGTAACATTCTGAACTTCATTTAGGTACAATCAGATGAAAAATGTAATTGTAAAACTAGCACTCGTCCTTCATGCAGGGTAACCTAAAAAATTAAAGGGGCGGGGGAAGAAACAATCAAAAATAATGTAAAAAATGTATTAACAGAAAAAATCATAACAAAAAATTACAACGAACTACCAAGAGCAAAAAAGGGTACATTTCAACAGTCAGAAGTACAAAACAAGAATAGGTACACCAAAAGAAGAAGATTTAGTCAATTTTGGCAACACGTAATAATATTGTCATAAACACTGATGTAGGCCACGAAAGGCACAAGTTTTTTTTTTGTAAATTTCTTTTATTGTTGGTTTGTACTTAGGCAATAGGTGAGGTGGTTTAAGTGTGAATTGACTTAGTGCTAGTGCCCAAAACATCTACAATTTTTTTGCTTAAAACCTACAACTACGTTAAAATCTCAACAACATTTAGAATTTCCGAATGAGTAAAATAGCCAAAAAACACCGAAAATTTGTAAAATGATTTGATGATTTCATTTCGTTGTCGGTTATGACCGGCCTAGAGTATACTGCAACGTTTGCTTAACCGCCTAAGGCCGTTAATGCACTCACTTGTGAACTCGTCCTCGTCTTCTGCTTCCGCCTCTCTCGCCAGCTCTTCCGGCGTTTTCTTTTTACGCATCAAAGGATTCGGCTCTTCTTGTACGGGATCTACGACTTCTTCTTTCTTTTTGATATTATACTGAAACAAAAGCGATCAAATTTAATGATTTGTGAACACCGCTTTCAATCAGTTTGCGCATCCTGGGCCACCCCCTGGATGAACGCCTTTGAATTGGAAAATGGAAAATAAGGAAAGTCGATAATTTTATTTACGATTCTGGGTATAATTCCGTTGGTTACGTAATACTTTTGCAAAGTTATTACAGACGTGTTTGTTGCCACACGTGGTTCTTCTTAAATCGATAGGCGTACAATCACGAAGAGGATAGTTGACGAAAATCGATAAGGCCTGCTAAGTACTTGCATTTTGCTACTTCAGTTTAGCTTGCCTTCGTAAATTGTCCCCTAAGTTAATAAATACGGATGATAACACCACGACAATAATAATAATAATAATAACAATAATAGAGATAATGATGTAGATGGTGAAGATAATAGTGATAATAATAAATCCCCTACGGTCTGCAATGTTATCTTTATGGGGTTAACAGTAAACGCTTATTGAATTAGTTGTAGCACAAAGGCGGTCGTCGATAAGGACCGAGAAGGGTTTCCGTGTTTTTTTTTTGTAGAGAGAAGGTTCGAAAATATATAATGTAGAATGTTAAGTATTAACCACACAGATGTTTGTTGGAATACGAGGGTGTGATCACTATGGATTCCATTTTACTGCTCTGCAAATTACGTGCTCACTGAATGGAATTTTGTAATTACTGAAACTCTTTTGCACATACTGGAATTAGGAAAATGTATCTGCAATAACTGGAAATATTTAGAATTAAAAGAATTCTTTTTCGTGGGAATAATATGAATTCACTGGATTTTTTTCAGAATTTATCGAGATTGTAGAATTTTTCAGAACCAACCGGAATTTTATCAAAGTGGCAGGAATGTGTATTATGAATCATTATGATTTACTGAGAAAAAGTAAACACAAAAAAGGTTTTGAAAGCGTCTTTGTGCTTTCTACAGTCTCTTTGTTAAGAAATTTGCTATGTAATAATAAATCAGATTCACACGTAAGAACTTTAGCATAGAAGTGAATTCATTACAGTGTATTACACACGTTTTACTCAATAAAATAATATGCCTTGTTTACTGAATATTTGAAAATAAAATGTGTTTGTTTGAAAATTATAGTAATTTAGATTTTTTCACAAATACTACGTGTACTAAGACACACTTTTTTTGACCCCGTAACACAGTGTTTATATTGCGATATAGATCTCAGGAATAAGTCTAGCGCGATTTTCTTGTTACTCTTTGAGTGGTTAAAACATTTAAAGAAAAATGAAATAACTCCATGAAGCCGCATGGAAATTTCGAACATAAAATATGCCCGTAAAATTTCAGAAAAGTCAAGTAAAAAAATATAGGGTGTTCTATTTAAAAAACTGTGTCCCTCCAATGAAAGAACAACTGAAAATAATAATAATAATTATGTGCTATTTAATACGCTTATTGATTTACCCTGTATACTGTAAACTATAACCAATGTAGGTCAGTCTGGACATTGCCTTTTATATATAAAGATAGTAGGCTATATTTTCCTTTCACCAGGTGCACCGTTGTGAACACCCTCCGTCATTTCATAAGATGAACGTTCCTAAATTTGTTTGAAATCACATGTAATTTTTTCGATTTTTTCAGATTTTTAATTAACACACAGGTGCGCATTATTCCTAGAATGATTAGGTTATTAGTGTTATTGCAGGAAGTTTAGTGTCTACGGTTCGCACGTATCTCTCGTAACCCCCACGTGATCTTTCAATTTTAGGGTCCAGCTACGTAGTTCTAGCGGTCGATTGCACAACGGGATAATAACTTCTCCTTACTTCTTCGCGTAAAAGTTTCGAGAGAAAAGAAAATTGAAGAGGAAAGTGAATTAACAATAAACATGGCATTCGCGATAACACACAACGTGTTTGCCTCTATAAATTCGGGCGGTACAACCGAATTTCCATCGTTATTGTTTAATGAAACGCACTAAATAACATTATTAAGTGCGAGGGTGAATTCCCTTTGTAACCGGGGACGGGAATTCGGTTTTATTTTTATCATTATTGTTATTATATCTTTCCGGGTACGAAAAGAGAAAATTACGTTCATTACCTCGGGACCGTGTTTAAAGTTTTAGTTTCGGCTGAAACACTTTCCGAAAGTACTTTAGGACAAAGTTGGTTAGATTTAAGTTTAGACGAGTCCCAACTGAAAGTCGGAGAGGAGCACAGGCTGATGCCGTTGCCGTCGGCACACACACAGACAATTTTCGGCGAAAATTTGCAATGGAAATTGGTCACGTCGAAATCAAACTGGTGCCCGATTGAACAAGGGAAATATTAAGTAGGAGAGAGCTTAAAACTTTGCTTTCGATGAATAATTACATTTCCCAGACAGCGGCCTGTGATTCCCCGGTGGTGTACTATATGTGGAAGTTAGCTGTGGTCTGAGGTCTGGTTTCACCAACAAGAGTTAGCCTTATTCGTTATTGTTCAGTATTGGATTCACGAAGCTTGATAAATATTTGAAATTGCAAACTCAATTCAGTTTGCATTGATATTGAAAATGAACAATAGTACAAGACCCTCACTTTCGTCTCATCTTTCACTGAGGTATATCGATCTAAACTAGTTAAGAAGTTAAGTTTAAATTTGTTATTCACAAAATGGCGACAGCTTTGTGGATTTGCATCATAACAAGTTTCATCAAACAGAAATACTCACAGTATAGAACATAAAAGATTTATTTAGGTAATGTTTCGTATATTCGGTTGTATTCATCTTCAGATAAAATTCCTTGTATCCATCCAGTCAAGGATTCTCATAATGCTCGGGAGGTTTTTTACGTGCTACACGTCTATGCAGGGAGGTGGTAAAATAAGGTCTCAAAAGCACGAGCATAAATATAAAGAAAAAAGCGACCCAACTGGCGAACAAAGAACTTTCACATTTAACTAATTAAACGATTTGTCATCGTTTACTGAGTTGTGCCAATTTCATACAATGGGGAACAACATCAAAAACAACAAACATCGTTTACAGTTATTTATGTATCGTAGCGAAAAATAAAATATGCATCATCGTGCTGGAACGAATTCCGACTACATTTTTCGCTCGTTACTTACAATTGTTTTGCAACGGCTGTGCTATTACAAAAATTAAAAAGGTAGTTGTACTATTTTTTAAGTATGCTTCCTCTAACGATACATTCCAGTTGTTTTAATTTCGCGCCCTATTAAAATGTTGGCTGGAATAATTGTGTAACTGTCGTACGAAAATTGACATTTTTGTGAAAATTCCACTGTTACAAATGAATTTTTATTGCGAAAATTCCTGATTTTCGGAGAAAATAGGCAGCGTGCAAATCTAAGTGTACAAGATTAAAAGATCGTACATCAAGTAGGCTTTGAAATTTTGTGAAATTTGCCGCTTCGTTGGAATGATTGGTAACAACTCGTCGCACGCCATCAAGGTCAATCATGATTTAACTTTGGGTAACCAATAATTTAGCTCTGCTACCTATCTCAACGAAACGGCAAATTCTTATTAAAAATGCAGTGACAAAGTGGTGTAAAATCTTTTATAATCACTATGTACTTGTTAATCCTGTACGGTTCCAACGGTGTTGTGGCAGAAGATTACCCGTTTATAGTGGACCATTAAAAAAACTCTTTAAAATCTCATTTATAGTTGTTTCCAAATATACAAGGTCTTTCATTTAACGATTGTCAGGTTTTATTTTAAATGGAACGCCGTATATATGTTTATAATTTGTTTTCTATTACAAAAATTGTTATTGAAAAAATATCATATTTCTAAATATCCTGTATTTTTGAAGATAATTTTAAATTGTAGCCCTGAAGTCAGACAACGTAGATGCGACAAAACTTCATTATATTTTTACGTATGTCAACAAGGTAAAAAGATTACTTTTAAAACAAGTTGTAAGAAAAATTATTCTAACGTTACATATATTTAATAATTTGATATGACGTCATCAGCTATCTAGTGTGGATGGATCGTTTTACCAACAATTTACGAAGATTAACAGAATCGTTATATTCCTTGAGATATTTTAATTCATTTAAAAAAAAAGTAAATGTGTTTTATTGAGGAGATCAAATTTTCGTTAATGTTCTATAAACTCATATCCATAAATTTAAAAGTTGGAATGGATTATTAAATCACTTAAAGAAATATGCAGCATGTACATTTCAAGTGAGATTTAATTAGCAATTTTTGTGAGAATTATGGTTAGCATTAGTCATCTTCACAATAACTTAAGTAATCGTACTAATCGTTGATAGAGACGACGGTAGACGGAACTGGGAGACTTGCATTTTTCCAGTTGAAAACGCTAGGAAAATATTAAATTAAACATTAAAAAAATGTTCGAAATTACCATCTCAGTGCGTCTCTTAGCTTGCCCTAGAGGTAAAAATAAACTTTCGTAAATCAATTGCAGTTCTATTTTTACAAAGATCAATACCAAACAACATTTCTCACGTCTACATCAACTTTTAGTCTAGAGCGGCTTATTCAAATATAAACAATACATGAGGGTAATCGAGAAACTTTCGATAAGCTTTTTAAAAAAGCCCGCAAGTTTTTGTAATAAAAGTTTATGAGATTCTCTGTTGTATAAACTATTTTTCAACATACACGGTACTCAGCAACTTTTCCCTGTAGCAGTGTTGGCCTTACTCTTTTGTAATATAATGAAAAACAAGTATTGTAAACATTTTACTCACGGGATCTTTACGAACCAAAATGTCGGTGATGCTTCCTCATCGGTCAATAAGTAAATATATTAGTTTGTAACTTTGAGACATGAATTATTTAGCTTCTCAGTTATCACATACCGCCTATTGTTACTTCCATGTTTTAAGTGGTCAAATTTTCTAATAGTGTAGTTTTTGAATTATTATTATCGTCGCTGTTTTTTAATCAATAGTTGAAGTAAAAAACTACTTACTAAAGCTCCAAGTTTTAATGGTAAGGTCGAATTATTTTCAAGAAT